TTACATCGGATTGTGAGCAACAATTTAATTCGGGAGATAAGCGGGATGAACATATTTACACGAATTATTCGCCGCGGAAGAAGATGGATCGCGTGGCGCTCGTGATGGACGGGCGGGCGGACAGGCGTGATTATGAAAATTCATTTCACAGACGAATGAAACCAATATCGTCTCGTTAATGGCGAGAGCTAAGCGTGACACGCGCGACGACTGTAACGTCACTATTCAGCAACGTGGCTGAATAGATTTGGCCCAATATCAGTCGACTATAGAGATGAGCGTCGTATAATCGTTCGAACCGGTGGGCGTAGGGTTTCAACAATATCGTCCGCGTGGCACTAAATCACTTTCTATTCATTAATCATCGAGCGCGGTGGGTTACGTCACAGTAGATTTATATCTCATTTCGGCATTTCGCCCGCTCCATTAAATTCGTGTGAAACGGGCAAAAAGTCCTTCGTCGATGATCGTGTTACGTTGCTCGGTCGACGATCGCGAGCCAACTTTCCGTGCCACGCGAGACTGCAATTTTTCGAGACACTTGCTTGCGGAATGACGAGCAAACTGTTCCACGGTGAAACACGTGTCGCACGTATTTGCTCGACAACGCTCGACTATTTCACGGTAAACCACGTCGCAAGTGAGGACGCTTAACTTACTTCTTAAGACAATTAGACGCTGTTTGCACAAAATTGACGATTAATCACGCTCTAATAACGCTTCTTCCCCTCTAATTCCTCCCTCTTGCCCTCTCTTTCTTCGTGTATCTCGATAAAAATCGAGGCTTAACGATTCAACTCGTTTCTTCGCGCTTAACTTTTAATAAGGGATTTAATGCGGGGTTTTTCCGCTCAAACGCGACAACTTAACGGGATACGAAGTACGGGTCGTGTAACATCGTTACTTTCTCGATAGTATCGATAGTAATCTCTAGATAGACCTTCATGCACGGAAAAAAAATTAGATTGGATTAACCAACTATCTGATGAAATATAAATGAACCCCAGAACAATAAATGCTTATTATATGTTAAATGATTATTGTTCGTATGTTTAATGATTAATTCAACAGAATATATTTACTTCATCAATGTAATCGAAAGAACTATCAAGTTTCCATCATTGTTTGTTTTATGTCGTCATAATTATGAAAGTCTGTCAGACAGACAGATATATGTAAGTTTAGCAGCAACTTTACTAGTCAAGATAAAGATCGCGTTTCTTTTGAATGATTCATGTAGCGTGAAATAATGTAATATGGGAATTTAAATGAAATTTTTAGCAAATTTGTTGTTACATTAGCATAACAATTTGATGATCAGAAAAATTAAACTTTTACCTTTCTTAATTTTTATATCATATTGATTTCGCTATATTAGATTTAATATTTTTAAAGTGTTTCGTGTTTTTAGCGATATATTTATAGTTCTTTTCTCTTTATTTTATTTTAAAATGTTTCTTCAGCTCTTTTAGTGAGGAAAAAGTTGTATTGTAATAAAATAAGTAATAAAAAACTGAACTATATGATACAAGTAATGAAATAATTGGGGCAAAATCACCACTAACCAAATTGTTGTTAAAAGTGACTTATTTTGGTATCTTCAAGTGTGAATTTCGACCACTTTTCCACAGGTTTAGACGAATAAGTGTCATCATAGTATTTAGCGGTCCAAAGAGAACGTAAGATTACAAGTTTAATTTACGTTACACTTTTTAGACCAAAATCGGCTTATTTTATCCATCGCCCTTTATGTACACTTGTCTATCTGGGTGTATGAAAATACGGTACGAGAACGGCAAACTTCTAGATGATTATTGCCAACGAAAGTTACCGTCGCGCAAATATTTCCGCAAGACCGGCGGAAGTTCAAATATCGCCGAAGCTCTCTCTCTCCCTCTCTCTC